AAACCCACCAAGGAAGCATCTGTAAACAGATGAGACTCAGGACAAGGCGGAGGAATAGTAACCCCCACTGTGGTCAAGTCCTTGTTGACCCACCAAACTTGGTTGGCCCTGATCCCAGGTGGAAGGGAGATGGGATGGTCCAAGGGATCTTGGGGGGAGTTCCACTGGTCAAGAATCATCCAATGAAGGAAATGCATGAGCACTCATCCTAAGGAAATGAGAGTTTCCAAGGAAGCCAACAACCCCAAAAGTGATAGAATCTCTCATACAGAGAGAGAGAAAAAGAAGGAAGGGCTTTTGTGACTGCCTGCTCCATACCTTGGAGCCAAAGTGGAGAAGGCTTGACTCAACCGAGATGGGAAGTGAAGAGAACCTTCAAATGAATAAAATACTGTGAGGAGGTAGTAAAGAACCTCTCCAACTTGATAAGAAACACCTCCAAACATCTTCTCGAAGAAGTAAGCAGGTGTGAGTGACTGACTGGGCACAGGAAAAGGCAAGCAGAAGCCAGTCATCCATGTAATAGTGAGGCCAAAGACCCAGTGAGTGAAGATGATGTGCAAAAGAACATACTACTTGACAAAAAAAATACGAAGCTGAAGAAAACTTGAACGGCAGCACCCAGAACCCTCATGGACAAACCAAAGAAAAACAACATGACACTGGGGCAAAAAATCCACTGAAGTGAGAGCTGGAAAAGATCTATCAGGGGACTACAATCTCACATACTTTTGGAAACAACAAATACATGGGAGAAAAAAATCCCAATTGAGTGGGCACCACCAGTTCAATAGCTCCTTTGTGTAGGAGGTTTTGAACTGATTTGGCAAGATGATCTGGTAAGTGGATAGGGGGGAAACAAAATGGATTGCAGAAATCCCCAACCAGAACCCGTAGAAACCACAGAACTGTCATGAAGTGTAGCCAATAAGACGCATAAACTAAACATACTTAGAGAAAGTACATATGACTAACGAACTAACAAAACATGGAAATGCAAGTTTAAACTAAATTAACCTAGATGGTTTAAAAGAAGTATAGAATCTAACTTACCCAACACTGAGCAGAAAAGACATGAATGACCTAAATTATCGAGTACGGAAATTATGTTCATCCACACAAGCTCACATAAAGTCACTGAACATAGGTATACCTACGAGGAGTGAGAAATACACACTATAAACATACTACATCTCTTGAGAAAAAGAACAATACCTAACCCAGCAGATTACATGGAGGTGCAGTAACAGGTGGAAAGTGCCATATAAAGACAATTTCCACACAGTAGTTACATCCCTCTTCACAAAAATCATAATGTGAAAGGAAAAAATTGTCAGCTGAATGTAAGACATGAACTAAAGCCTGTGCTTCCCCAGCAGTACTCTACTTATGGCAGGAATTTCATCATCCACCATATTAAGTTTCAAATTCGTACGAACAAAGCAGAATTCAGAAACAGAAACATTTCTACAACAAACAATGGAAATCAATACAAGTCAGATCTTGATATAAATTTTGATCAATCACAATCAAAATCTTGTAGTCACATGGAGAACGGATTAAAAACACACATCTATACTGCAACATTTTTTGCATCTAATTTCTTAAGAATATAATCATAATCTCCTCCAAAATGTTATTCATGCTAGAAAGTATAATGCATGTAATGAACAAATTTAAAACATTTTGAACGGTTCAAAAAGATTATTTTTTCATAAGTAAAAAAAATTGCTCACAATAATGTCAGGACACATGCACACACAAAAAAAACATGATTAAATATTATATCAAATGTGTGTGATCGACATCAAGTACTTTATTACGATCAACACTGTGACATTATTGACACAACATTGTGTATTCACTCATGCCTCATTAAACAACTTGTGCCTACACCTTGGAAATATCATAAAATGCTTATAAGCATTCCATGAAAAAACCAAAAACACTGATACAAATTATTTATTGTATTTTAACAATGTGAATAATTACCATAAACAAGCCAGCTCAGGTAAAATGGTGGGATAGGATAGCAGGATCACTAGCTAAACTCCTCAGAAAAACTACAGCAAAATTAATCAAATAACTTGCTGATTGTTGTGTATCATGTGTTTGGAGAAGTTACTTCCTCACTATCATAAGCAATACACTAACATGGATACATTATATGCCTACAGTACACAGTGAACAAGGTTTTGTTTACACTTGAAAAAGCCTGCAAAACACTGTTGTTTTGCTCATTTATATTTTCATACATGTTGCATCCATTCCTACCATACAATTCTTATAAGATAGAGATTAATGCAAAGTTTCATCAGTTGCTACCCCAACATGAACAGATTTTCCACAGTAGCAATTATTTCATGCTAAAACAAATTAAACTTTCTGTGCAAAAAGCCCATGTATATGTTTTCTCTCAATACCAGAGATATTTCTTCTCAGCAGCTACATCAATGTATTTCAACTGAGAGAAATATTGATAATTGTTTCACCCCTCCAAGGGCATTGTCAATTTCCACTTAAAAAAACTTATTACACAGTAAGTGGAGCAATCATTAATTGCAATTGGTTGAGCTATCACACATGGCACATTGCATTTGGAATAGGGATGTTACTAATGTAGACATTTCTTCCATTGTTTGCACATGTTTGGGGGATTTCCACATTATTACAGGTAACTTGGAAGGCAGGCTGTAAATTGAGCCTTCTAATATAGTGTGTGCAGCTAGAGGTAGAGGGTTTCTGCTGGATGTGTCTGTGCTAGTCTGGACTCGTGTTGTGCAGTGCACATCTCAGAAATGAAAACCAGTGTGTGTATATGTTTGAAAGTCGAACTGAACCGGCAGAGCCATTCAATATAAACATGAAAATTGCACAGAAATTATCATTTCATTGATAATATTCTTGTATTGCTTGCATTCCTTTGAATTTCCTTGGTTCAATGCTGAAATGCTTGCACAAGGCAGTATATACAGCTTTGAAGCCTGAAATAATTTGTTTGTCTGAAGGACAATCTTAGTCACTAAATTTTACAGCATTATCTCACAGAATTTCTGGTCATCTCAGATAACTGGATGAATGTTAAATTGGTTCACTGACATGTTGTGCTTTCTTATACATATATTACCTTTCTAAAGTACTAGCACTTAAGTTAACTCCTACTGACACTGTGTAAAAATAGTTGTGGCTTAAGTATTCACTTGCTTAAGTACTAACAGAGTTAAGCAATTTAATTATTGAGCAGTGATTACATCAATTAGTGTAATTTAATCTAATCAATTCATCATAATTAGTGTTTTCAACTATTACTGTTCTTAATTATTCCAACAATTGATTAATCAAAATTCAGATTATATTGATTAAATGTGTGTAGAAAATAATCAACTAATCAAAATTATGTTTCTTATTATTAACATTTTTTATCATTTCAACAACTGATTAACTGAAAATAAAAATATAATAAACTAATCAAAATTACAGTTTGTGATTATTTCTATTTTCAGTTATTCCAACTACCCAAATAATCAAAATATTGCCACCAAGCTCACTCTTCCTGTCTTTGTTATAGTAAAGCAACCTTGGCTACCTGCCACTGTCATTAAAGTTTAACTGGCTAAACTGATGACAATGGGGTCATTGATTAACTGATTAATAAATACCACTAAACATCCAACTGTAAGACTAATACAACATTTTTCTTTACTTGACTTGAATGTTTTCACAGGCTACTATATCTTTTGCATTCTGAGGGATATTTATTTTCATGTTAGGTTAAACCACCAGATTACATTATTTCAGTGTTATAAGAAAAAATGTAACATGCACACACACAAAACAACAGTTTTTTTATTCAATAAATTCCATGCCACTGCTGACAATAAAATATGTTCCAAAGATAGTCAAGAATTTAAATACTGTCTTGGAACATCCAAAAATGTTTATTGGACATAATTAACGAAAAAAAAATTTAAACACCTACTGGTTAAATTGCAGTGTATCAGTTAAAACCATTTATATTTTATCCATTTATAATTAGAAAATAACATATTTTCTTTCAGATATATTCATATAAACTTCTAAAAAATTTCCATGCAGTGTTCTTTGTTATAGATAGTCATGTGAAGGTACACAAGTGCTATTTACAATAGTTGTAACTAAATTTGCACCGATAGGGAAGACATCTAGTGCATAGCACTCACTGCTAACTCTTGGGCTGTTCTAATTGAATATTTGGATTTGAATGTCACTTATATAATGCACACAATGCCCCAGGGTGCATAGTGCAATGTTGCAGCAACAAAATGTGAACCACAGACCCTCACAACCACAGTCTGAAACTTTTACTTCTAGGCCATGTCTGGTCCATGCATACAGAGTCCTGCCATAAGTTAATGTCTTTATGAAAAGGATATCACTAATCATAAGTCTGTATTAATGCTCATCTCTAGCAAAGTTACATACTACAGTAGTTACTCCTTACAAGTTCTACTTGCTAGACCATGTGTATGTGTCATCACCCACCTGTAGTGTAAGTCACACCCAAACAAATGGGTTGTACAAAGGTTTGTACAAGTAAGTATGAGCTGGAAGTTAACATCACTTTAAATACATAAGATGAGAATCAGTACTTAAGTAGGTGATACAGGATTTTGAGATACTGCACAATGATTTTGATCTTACTTACAATGTGGTGTAGACAAAATTATTTCTCTTCTTTTTTGCCTTTCTCTCAGCTGCAGCAGTCAAGGAAATCAATGATCAGAAGATGGCCAGTATTACAGTAAAGCTCCAGCATGTTGTGTCAGTGCACAACAATGGTTTTATCTTGTTTCACACTGCTGTTTGTGTTCAATCTACCCTTTGGACTACTACATGCAAGCTTATACATGTGAAAAACAAAAAATGTATAGACTGGTGATTTTTTTCTAACTCTATTTCTCAGGTAATAGCCATAAATGACTAAGTTATTTTATAATATTTTTATTCATACAAATTATTACCTTTTCTTTCATTTGTTACTGCCCTGTCTCTATCACGAAAACGTCCGCGACCACCTCTCCGGCTCCATCCTCTACTCTTGCTCCGTCCTTCACTCTGATTTGTTGATGAGGATTGTCCTTCATAATTTGCTGATGCTGAAAATTTAGGGTACATAAACATATTGGATATTTTATTATACAAAAAAGTTAATATTAATTCAAAGAATAGGTGTCTTATGAAAACAGTTTATATGTTCTTCTATGACCAAATCTGTTAGATAATATACTTCAAATTTCTATACTCTTATCTACAGAACCAAAATTAAGATCCTGCATTTTTACAGTAGGAAAAAAAAATTACCATGTACAGGTAAATTCAAGCAACTAACATAGTTGTTGAAACCTGCTTCCTTAAAACAGTCCATCATCAATGCATTCTATCATTTAATGATCTTTATTTCACATAATAAAAGTGAAATATTGAATTTCTGGTAAACATGTATTGTTTAATTAAAAACTGATACTACAGCATATATGTTTTATTTCCATTATCAAAAGAAAAATCTATGTCAAAACTTGATTAAGTTTACTGCTTCTCACCACAAATAAGTATTATTTTATACTGTATTAAGAGACCTAAAATATACAGAATTAAGAATTTTTTTAGATACAAGACATCCATATGTCAACAGGCAAATTTACCTCTCAATTCTGTAGCTGCATTTTCTTTTTTCTAATTCATCTCATATTCTCAGCTTACAAGTTCAAAATAAAGTTGCTGTATGTATAAACAAAAATACTACTGACAACAAATAGAACAATAATCAATACTCACATGATTCCTCCTTTTGGTCAGCAATGGTGAAAGTTGGTTTGTTTTTATTCACATTAAACTCCAAAGGAGCATTATTGTTTGCTGGGTCTATCATATTTCCTGCTTGGGACATATCTAATGCTCACACACACACACACACACGTGCACCTAAAATTAAGTAAACATTTATAATCAGCATCAAAACATTTATAAAACCTTCACATGCATAGAATATGTAGTTAATGTCTTTTATATAAATTTATAATAATAAACTTATTCCTAATTTCATTTACCTCTGTTATAACAAAATCATGTTTTTGTGTCTTATTGAAAATTAATAATAATAATATATATAATTGATACTTGAAACCATCGGTACTTGGTGAAACTCCATAATTACAGAATTGAAGGAAAAAACAGACAATTGTATATTTCACAAAAATTTCATTTATTCACAACCATGGTTTCACCAGTAAAGGCAATGTCAGATATAAAAGATATAGTTTATGTAATATTATTAATTTATTTATTTTGTGTTTGTAATTCATTGATGTCGAGGCTATGGAACGTTGTGTACAATCCACTGATGTAAATGCTAGAGAGATTTCTAGAAGGCCTAAGTGATAGATGTATAAGTAACTGTGACCAGACAAGCAGAGAGGAGAGAAAGTAAAAAGTAAAGTCATGGGAAAGAGAAGTTTGGTAAGAGAAAACACAGAGTTAACCATCATAAGAGTGAAAGGCCTAATGGTTAATATGTTAGAGTGAGATTAATAGTTTGAAAGAGATAAGAATAATAATTTGTCTTGTCAAAGGGTGTTCTAAGCTAATTGAACCTGCCTGTGTGGACTTTGATGAAAAGCAGATGATTATTTAAATAATAATGATATGTTAAAGTATAATGTACAAAATTTCCTATTTCAATCTTCAAGAAATTAAACAAAGAATCATACCCAAAACAAGTATAAAGTTTTAGGGATGATTTAAAATTCTAGAATATAGATGTTAAAACATGTATATTACAGAGTAGTATATCGCAACATCAACATACCAGTAATGTATATGTAAGTAATAATGATAATGCCCGTCAGAAACTTACTTTTTTTAGTAGTATGTAGTAATGCAAGTATATGGGTGTGTTGGGCTAAGGATTCTTCTGCAGTAGGTGTCTGTCACTTGTTGGTGATAACTTCAACAATAAACAAACTGCACACACTCCACTTGTTTTTAAGATAAGATATACACATTCAAAAGAAGTTGAATGTATAGTTGTATCTTAAATGCTATACAGTTCTCTTCTTCTTGTCAAAAATCCACTTAGGCCAATTCAATTGCTTTAGAATTCAGTTGTCAAGGCAAACTATTTTTCTCTATTTTTATCTATATATAATTCACGCTGTCGTGTGAGTTACCCCAGTTGTATCTTGTACTTCCAATAATTGTCTGCTTTTTTTTTGTTTCCGAATAACTATTAAATTTGCTATAATAAAAGGAATGACCATATAACCTGTTGGAAAATTTGATAAATGTATATACAAACCGCATAGATACAGATCACTTAATTTATTAACAGTTCAGTTAACTCATACCCTAACTATCCAAACATATTTTTATCTAGAATGAGTGAGTTCTTCAATCAAGAAGTACTCATTCTACACAGTACATTCAGAAGCAGCAGTACACCCAAGTAACAGTAGATAGCTATTATTTAAGGAATTACAAAATGTAATGACATATTACACTAGTTTTATGATTGTTAACCTAAATGTTTTCTAAGTCCCCTCACAAACACACTAATATCACAAATACTTTTGTACTTTTTCTTCTCAGTAAAAAAAACCCTCAATATTAACTAAAAAATGTAGTAAGGAGAATAAATCATTATATTAATTATTAGACAACTGGATTATAGTTTTCCTCAAAGAACTGGATTCTTTAACAATAAATGCTTTCACAATAATGTCCAGTTTTGTACTTTTTGGTTCACCATTTCTTCATCTTGCAAAGTACCTTGTATGTATATAGCTTTGCTAAAATTTTAAAATAGCCCAGTTCTTAAGTAGATTTTCTGTTACAATCAAATAACTATTAAAATGACATCTTTTCTTAGGAAATTGTCATTTTGATGCTATATAAACCATATCATTACCATAACCATTTGTCTCCATTATAGCTACTACATTAATTTTGGTTTATTATGAGAAATTGTTATAGCCTTATAAACTTATTCTTACATTACCTTTGATGTGCCAAAATAACATATTATTCTTGAACCTTTTTCATAAATTATGTCCATATTTTCAACTAATAATCATTTGTGTTGATGATTTTGATCATAGCATCAGAATATTTGCAAGACTGGGACTCTGCATCATCAACTGAGTGTAAAATGTTGGTCATATCAATATGTTATTCTTATTGTCACTCAGACATGGTGTTCTAGTGAATTATTATTACACATATTTCATTTTCAATGTGAAGATATATGCTATGGTTTAAGTAATTTATAGAGTTCTCAAAATAGTTGTTTATGTTTAGTCGATAGATAAAAGGTTGTTTATACATTTATCACAGTTTGCAGACTACAATTATAAGCAGACAGTCATGCATCCTGCAGAACTTTTCTTGATAGAATGCATCTTGAGGCATCCCGAGATGAGAACAAATCCAACGAAAAATTTGTGGATGAAGCATCCATTCTGTGTTAGGACGAGATAACTGATCGGCCACTAAATTCATAACACCTAGAACATGACAAGCAAGAAGAACAATCTGATGACTGTGGGCTCAAAAGAGATGATGAAGACTCAGCAATCAGAATATGAAGATAAACAATAAACTCAAAACCCAATAAGAAGGGCTGAAAGAAGAATTGTCAAAAGCGTAGGTATAACTAAAGTTATACAACAAATAAGAGAGAGAGCTGCAGCAAGCACGTCAAACCATTTGTGGTAACATTCTACCTTAAAAAAAAGTGAATAGGAAGTAATAACTGGGGCACATTGATGTAGGTGGAGAGAATCACAAATTTTAAACTGCTATGGGCAATGTAGAGGGATATAAAGACTGGAGCAAGAAATGTAAGATTCATACCAATGCTTAGATGGGTAGCAAAGAGAAACTTTCATCAGGATAAAGCTAAAGTTTCAGAAAAGGTAAGTGCATTTCAGAAATTTATTAATTTCTCATTAACAGAAGTTATGATGTTGAAACTGTACATTATACCTTGGAATTATTTATAGTGTGTGTCTAGGATGAGACATATAAGTTATATAAATTAATAGAGGAAAATTCAGAATGTAGATGCATCACATGCACAGACATATGAATGCTGAGAATTTTTTAAGTATATTTTTTAAATTAATAAATTACACTCTGATGTTAATTTTATTGACATACATTGATAATAAAGTTAACTAAGTTCTGAAATTATGTGAAGCTATATAAACATTGTGACGTGTGAAAGAGCCAGGCTCATGTTTATAAGGTTAAATGTACTATTTACTTTAGTGTAAAACTGTATAATGAAAAAAAAAGATTAATGTACACTAACATATTTTATACTTGAAAAACAACTTTAAGTAACAAAATATAAGAAAATACTGTAACAATAGGTTATTCAGCTCATCAATGTTACCCTGCAAAGCAACTAGCCCAATCTCTTTCTCTCTCTAAATATATACAAAACCTCTCACATTCATGAAATTATACAACAAAAATATTTAGAAATATGCTGGGTTAATTGTTTACCATTGTGTGGTTGTGGACTTAGTATAGATCACATAATTAACATACTTGCAACTGGATGTAAATAGCTTTCTTCATCCTAACCTCACAAACTCCAACACAAGGTCTTAGTATTTATTACACCATAAAGATTTAAAATTATATCTATTATACTTACCTTTCCTCACATTCTATGCAAATTTTTCTTAAATTATTTTTATGTTTTAAAGAACTAGTCACCTTTATAAGTTCCCTTTATAAGTCTGGTCATTTAGCAGGATCATCTTAGGAAGGTCACCTCACATATGCTAATGGATTAAAACAAGTAAAACTTGTCCACTTGCATGAAAGATAAGTGTTTGTATACACACACACACACAAAGAGGATGTGTTACTGTTCTATGGATATCAAGCCAAAACATAATATTTTTAATTTTGTGGTAAGCACAATTTATTTTTAACTAAGAATGTATAACACTGACAGTTTTGCCAATTTTCATACATTCTTCAGTAAGGATATTACGAAAAATGGTTTCACAAATTAAAATAATAGATATGTATTATACATAAATTTCTTATCCCAACCTTACATAATCTAACACAAGTTATGCTGAGGCAATTGATTTCCACAGTGTGGTCATTGACTCAGTATAAATCATATAATTAACAGTCAATACAGAATATAAATACATTTCTTCATAATAAGTATATACACTCTAACACAAGCCTAAGCATTTAATGATCTTTCATTAAATTATGCTCAGTCTAGTTTATCATGATGTGGTCATTGACGTTAACATCACAACTGCACATTGTGCATCTAGCACAGCTTTCTGCCAGACTGGACTTGGCAATCACCCCAAGAAACTAGTTTTCCCACAAACTTTTATACTTTCCCAGGATCTTTGCCTTTTATCAAGAAGTTGCCATTTTGGAAGAAGGAAGTTGTAATCTTGATACAATTACTCATATGCAATGATACAGTGGTGTACCAATTGAAGGAACTGAAAAGGACTGCAAATAATGAAAACAATATAATGATATTTCACACACACAAAACCAAAAAAAAACACAGGCATGAAATTGAATCCATTATATACAGCAATATAATCATAGGCTTTCAAAACTAATAAAAAATGTAGTTGCTACAGCCACCCTGTGGTACTTGACAGAAATGAACTTTCATTATCCAATTCTTACATACTCCAACACAAGTCTATGCATTTATTACACCACAGAGATGTAAAACTACCTCTGTTATCTCTCAACTTTCCTTGAATCCTATGCTAACTCTTCTTAAGTTATCCTTCCACTTTTAAGATGTGGACATCTTTGAGTTGCATTCTTAATTTGCCCCTTTCAAGTCTATCCATTAGGCAGACTGACTTTATCATGGTCACCTTAAATACACTATTGAATTAAAACATTTAGAGCTTGTTTAGAAACATGATAGGTCATACAAATACAGGCTATACTGTTGTTCTGTGAACATTTGGCTAGAACTTATACATGCTAAATGAAACATAAATTTGATATATAACATTAAATTCCTTAAACCATAATAACTACATTGGTCAAATGTGATAGGTATAGTAATGAAGTTTTTTATCTGAGGATTCTCCTTTGCTGGTTAGTAATACACAAAGTAGGCTCAACCACAAAAGGTGTTCTTGGGATAATGGCTGAAAACACTAGTAACAGCAAGGATACACAATTGATGACCTAAAGCAGTGTCATAAAGGCTTTTCATGACTTGCTTGTCACTCATAATTAAGGCTCACTATTATTAATTGCAGTTTTTATGGAAGATGTTAAGTGACTCTTCTGATAGTAGTTATTAAATAATTAATATTATTTATCAAATATTTAGGAATTCATCTCCAATCTTATCTTTCCACAACTCCAACAAATCTTTCATAGACAATTAGTTTATCCAAAACTCTAACAATTATAAATACCTGAATCAGGTCACTTACAATTATTCTTTGTTCTAGGAAAAAACAAGGTCAAATCATTGAGTTTCTCTTCGTAGTTTAAATGTTTCAAACCAGGAATAATTTTTGTAGTCCATTTTAGAACCTTAATATGCAAAATGATACATATCCTACAAGAGGCCCAAAACGTAATACAATACACCTAAGTTCTGTACAGTATGATATCCCAGAATCCTTTGCTCTTTTAACCACTTCCAAATATTCAACCAATAGTTTGAAACTTTTATTAATCACTCCCACACAAAAGAATAAAGTACTTCATAATTTTTTATACCCCTAAATGCATCACTTTATATTTTTCAATAACAAAACTCAGACTATTCAGGCACTTCTGAGTAAGGAAGATTTTCCAAACCAGTAGTTTAGAACAGTAAAGTTGGGCAACTAATTACCTATCAGCATCAATTACGTAGATTAGTTTAACATAAAATAAGTGATCAATCGAAATTGCAATTACATCGATTAAATTTATAAAAATGATCTACTTGTGTTTCCAATTATTCCAACCATCAAGTGATGAAAATTAAGATCAAATCAGTTGATGTTATGAAAATAATCAATTAATTGAAATTAGTATTTCAAATTATTCCAACTATCCAGTAATTGAAATACTGCTGTTATGATTTTTCATTATTATATTTGATTAATTCACGTTTTCTTCAGCTTGACTGATTAGTGTTAGAGCTCAGAAAAAATAATCAAATTGAAATATGGATTTCTGATCATTACAATTTTCAATTATTCCAACTGTACAAACAAGTTTAAATAATGGGTTATCTGTGGTCTATCCATCATCAGTATTAAATTCTAACTTAAACTAAACACCACAACCAACAGAGTCTATCCACAAGTTCACAATATGTGTTTAGACTTTTACTGAGAATTCAGAAGTTTTTCAGGTTTCAACATCATACCAAGGTATTTCAACAGTAACGTGTAATCTACAGGTTACATTGTTATTACTTAGTAATAACTATTTAACTCGGACATCTCTGCCCAGTGTGTCAGGGAGCTTATATTGGTTCAACTGATAGAAGACTAGGAGATCATTTAAAAGAACACATTAATCCTAGGTTCAGATATTGTTCGGCATGTACAAGGTCAATGTGATGTGGTCCCAACTCCCAGTATATTCAAAGTTATCAGTAAACCCAAACTTACACTATAGATGAAGGAGATACTTGTAATCCTTCAAATGAAGCTTAGATTAAACAATCAGGAAACAGTTGCTGAACTATTAATTGCAATTTAGGTAAACTGATTTTTTAAAAACTTGTGCCGCTATCTTCTTCAAGATTTGTGAGTGCCATCCTGTGTATGATAAAGAGATAATTACACTTAGCTTTGGGACATCATAGTTCAGTGACCTAGGTAGATTTAGTTGTTGAACAGTTTTACTGATGATAGAATCAATAAAGTTGTTTGGGAAGAAGTTTTAAAATGGATTTTAGTCTGAGTTACTTTCACTGTAAAAGTTTACAGGATGTAAGGCATTTCACATGGTTTTCTTTGAAATGAAGTGGAACAAAATTATTATAGTGGGTGTAGAGCCTGGTTTAGGTGGGTTTCTGATAATAACCAACATAAAAACATCCTTTTTTTGTTGATGACATGTCAGAGCACTGATGGTGTTCACAGGTGAATTTAATGTTGACATGTTTAGAAATAAAATATTTTACAAATTTCACTAATTGATCATCATTTTTGAATATTACAAATATGTCATCAAAATAGTTATTGTAAATAAGCAGTTTGAACTTAGAAGAACAATCCCTCAGCCAATTATTCTCATGAAAGCACATGAAAACATTAGCTATTACATGTGGTAATCTATGTTGTTAAGTATTATTGGCCATGGCATTAACCTTCTTCAAATTTAGTAGGAATAGTTGGCTAAGAGATTGTCCTACTGAATTCAAACTGCTTATTTACAATTGCTATGTTAATGACATATATATGTAATATTTAGTGAAATTTGTAAAATATATATATTCTAGCTGTTAACATTAAGTTCACCTGTGAATGTCAACAGCACTTTGTTCTACACTTTTTTGATATGTTTTCAACAAACAAGGATGTTTTGATATTGGTTGTTATCAGAAACCCACCAACATCAGACAATACACCTACTTTAAATTTTTTTTCCACTTCATTTCAAAGAAAACCATGTGAAATGTCATAAGTCCTGTGCACACCATATCATCAGTTCCAATAACATTTTACAGCAAGAGTTACTCAGACTAAAATCCATTTTAAAACTTAACTCCTTCATGAACTTCATTGATTCTACCATCAATAAAACTATTTCACAACTACTTCTATCCAAGTCACTGAACTATGATGTCCTCAAAGTAAAGGACTGTACCATACATAAGGTCACACTCATGAATCTTGATGAAGAAACTAAACACCATAATCAACAAGGTCTATCCACAAGTTCAGCTGCAATATGTGTTCAGAATTCAGAAGTTTTTCAAGTTTAAAGATCATATCCAGATTTCTCAATAGTCATGTGTTATTTATAAATTCTGATGCTTACATTAATTCAACTGGGAGACCATTAAAAGGAACATTAATCCTGGGTTCTAGAACAGTTCAAGTATTATTCAGCATGTACTAGGTGAAAGTTATGAGGTCTCAATCCTCATTACGTTCAAAGTAATCAGTAAAGACGAAAAGGAGACTATACTACAAGTGAAGGAGATGCTTCTAATCCTTCAAATAAAACCTGGATCAAACAATCACCAAACAGCTACTAAACTTTTACTCACAATTTGGGTAATTGAATTTTATTTAAACTTTCACACTCTATTGTGTTTTTTTTTTAAGTCAACTCATGCAAGAATAATAGATCAGTTGAACTAATAAGCCTGATATTTAACTAATTAGCAGATTACACTAATTGTCCAGCTCTATTATCAGCAAATTTAGTAGTTCACATCATGGCATAAATAATAAATGATCAAAGACAGACAAGTCACATTTTTCCAATCAGAATAGTGCCCATTTATCATATCCCTCTTGCTTTCTACCTTCAAGACAATCTTTAGTTTACCTTTTGAAATTTTCTCAATGTGGAATGAGTAGCCGTTGGCAATAGTGGAGACTGGTATATTACAAGAGTTTAAGAAAGTAATAGATGTCCTGAAAAATAAAGGACAAGTTTAATTTTTTACTTTTTTCAAGGCTGAGTGTGCATAAACAGCCTTGAAAAACAAATGATACCTTCTTGTACAAAAGTTATCATAAATACTCTATTGTGTGAAGCTTTATTAAAAGCTCTTTGAAGTCTAGATGCAAAAAAAGTAACAACAGTACCTTCAGCCAGACAAACAAAAGCCCTATCACAAAAACACTTAACAAATTAGTGATATCAGAAAATCTTTCTAAAGCCACAGAGAATTTGTACTCATATTTCAACTGTCAAGGTGGTTTTCCATGTGACCCCTGTTAACAACATCCAACAACTTACCTTTAAGTACAATAGAAGTAGGGCTAATTGACCTATAATTTCTTGGGTCTTGAGTCCTAGATACCTTCTTTTTAAAAGCAGGTATAACATTGGCTATCTTCCAATAATATGAATTTTTCCCAATGTCTAAAAAGAGTCTTGGAAGATTTCCATTAAACCTTCCACCAACTCATTACTTGGTCTTAAGATAAACTTCTTCATGCCAGGTTTACTATCAGTATAACTTCTAAAGCTTTTCCAAAACTTTTCTTTAATAATAATAATACCTAAATGTAAATCCTCATCTTTAAACTTGTTAAAAAGCTAACGTATCTTATTATCATACTGTTAATAAGAACATTAGCATAAACAAAATTGTTTAATATCTAGCTATATATTATTTTCAAACAATAAAGTTCTCATTTAAATTTCTTTAGTGAAATGGTCCATTATTTTTACTTCTGCCAAAAGAATACTCTTTAAATCAACACTAATGTTAAACACTAACAGGCTCTCTAGCTTCAATATGACTCTCTCAACTTTTTTAACTGCCACATTTATAATTCTCCTAATGTCAGTTTATTTTTTGATACTCACCAAAATCAAAAATACATGTTTTAGCATTTCATTACATATTTGAAAGTGAAACTTGACACAGACCTGGTCAACTTTGAGAAGTTTTAATTTGAATACCCTTTTCTGACGTTGGTACAAAATTCCCATAGTAGTTCTAAGGAACCTCAAGCCATGAGGGATATATCAATTATAATATATTATGTCTTGCAGTGAAAAAGAGTTCTCTTATTTTTACTTAGGTGTTCTACCACATCTTGCAACTTACAAATACCAATGACTTTGCACATTGCTATTTGATGTTTTTCATTTTCTGTAATTTCTTAGTCTTAGGAATTTTAGTTTATACTTGGTTATAATGATTAATATTATTAATGTTGCTAGTAGTAGTACTACTATTAGTAGTTAGTACTAGTAGCAATACACTAACAATTCATCTTGGTGATGCCGTTTACTTTTTGTAAGTAGCCTCAGTATGCTTAAATCATATATTACAGAGTATAATGTATATTATTATACTACATAATAATTCATATGAATAGTGTATGTGATACTGATATTAAGTATTATTTCCGTATATTTAAGTTTCGTATAACTATAAGAAATATGTCCAAATGAGTAAGGCCTCGTTACCTAATTCAGTAATTGAATAATCCAGAAGTTATTTACGTTGTTACACGTTAGGTGAGTAACTCAACCAACCATATAACAGTAATATTACTGATAGTACTAGTAGTATATTTACAGTACAGTGTTACTCAGGCCTAGACATGGAAATTACAAGAACTCCGAGAGTGAGAACAAGTTAAAAAAAAAAAAAAGCTAAACACATCTTTTCTATCTCCACATCAAAAAACTTATGCTGTATTTTAAAATTATATTTTGACCATATCACACGAAATAACAATTTCTTAGCTAACACATTTGAAAATTTACCAACATAAAAACCTAAAAATGCATATTCTACCTACCCTTATTACATATTATCACAAAGCTAATTTTCACCATTTTTTAGTGTAGAGAAGGTTAATAGTAGCTTCTTGTTTTTTGAATATTTCAACGATAGATATATCTAGAAGGTATTGTTACGTCTCTGGTCGTTTGTTAATTTTCCGTAGAAATTCTTTCCGAGAAACTTCTGCGATACAAGTACTTTCTTAAATAAAACTAGTTTATTCTTTCTCAATACATCTTTGCAATACACTTAATTTCCACAGTCACTTTCACTTCAACACACGCTATAATTCCAAACGAACGATTCACGCACTTACTTACTACCGCGCTTGACTCAATTGTCCGTCTCTGTCTGTCTGCAATTCTATTCCGATTAATTGTCTCGTTTGTTTGTTCCTGGCAGTTATTTAGATTTAAAAATATTTTTTTCCGAAGAAATAATTACTAATCTGGGGTGCTCGAAGATTAAACAATCCTCCTTCACCCCGCTCGTGGTCTAGGAATATGGGCTTAGCTTGAGAAAACAGAAAGTTAATGCAGACAAGGTATGTAAATTTAAAAATGATAAACGTGAGAGTAATGGTAAAAATAAAAATTGAAGAGCAAAGTAGACTAAACTAAACTAAACTAAACGGCCGATGTCGGACTAATGGTCCATCAGGGCAGCGAGGATCTAAAATCCTATGCCGAGAATTTAATGTGGGGGAAACGGGAGTACCTCGAGAAAACCCACTTTCACTGGTAACGACCAATTCGTTACCAGTGCCCGGTTAACGAGAAGAAGTAAGTGGGGAAGGCAAAGTGAAGTCCGGTGATGGGGCTGATTAGCTTCTGAATGAGTTGTGGAGGCTCCGAAGTTCGCCATGGTTTTATTATGGGACTGGTTCCTGTTCCAGGCAGGTGGGAAAGGCGTGGAGTCGTTGGTGAGAATTAATTGTCTCGCTTTATCT